TTGTTTGTTTTGTAATTAGCATAATTTGATTCTCATTCTTAGTCTTCACAGGTTCTTCCTTATGTCAGATCTTCTTTCTTTTCTGTTATGTTATCAGTCATTGGAGTTAGGACCCATCCTAAGTCCAGGGTGATCTCATCTTGAGATCTTTAACTTAGTTGCAAAGACACTATTTTTAAGTAATATATATGTATGTATAGGAATTTGGATTTGGTCATATATTTTGGTCATTCAACATACTGCCCTTACAAGTATAAGAAATTTCAAAACTCTTGACTATAAATGATGCAACTTTTGAAGATTTAAAGAAATCTAACTCCTCTTCACCGTTGTATGAAGTATGAGTATCAGGATAAGACATATTGCTATTGAACATTGCTAATTGTTCCAGTGACTGCATACCGCAGCCAAGCATCTATCTTAGCAGTATTCTATGTTGGATATTTAGAAAATAGGCCTGATTGTGTGTGTCTGATTCCATAGTTTAATGCTAGTTACTCTTTCAGAACAGATTAACAAATACCATGTAATGTGTTTGAGACAGTTTTATTTATTTTGGAGATGGGATCTTGCTATGGTGTCCAGATGGGAATTGGACTTCTGGGCGCAACTGATTTTGCTGCCTCATATTGCCAAGTAACTGAGACTACAGGCATATACTACTGTGTCTTATTCGTATTAGGTATTCCTATTAGGGAGATCTCTCTAGAGATATTTTCAACAGAAGTAGTCTGCTTTTTATAAAGTATTAAATATATCATTTTTGGGGTAAGTATAGGTAAGATTAAATAGTGATATTTTCCCAAGGTAGGAGGAGCCGCCTTGTGTGTTTATATTCTCTGCTTCCACCAACCTTTGTTTTTGTTTTTGTTTTCCTGTTACACTTCTGGCCTTTGCTTATCACCTTCTGGTAGCTTGGAGCAGCTGTGCAGAATGTCCACATCCTAATTTCAGTCCGAGACTCCGGACTGAAATTCAGTCCGAGGCTTAGATGGTACTACTTACATAGTCTTCTCAAATCTTCCTTCCCCATGGCCTCAAAATGTGCCTTTCCTGTTTAGGAAAAGGGAACGTTGTGAATGTTCCCTTACAAAGTTGAAAGAATTCTAGATTATCTTAACATAGTGGTGGCCAATTTTAATGTTAGATAAGTGAAAATGCGGCCTTTTCTACCAAAAACAAAACAAAACAAAAAAATCTAAAAAAAACCCTCTAACTATCTGAATAGAGAAATCTGTCTTGTATGAGTAAAGAGAAAAAGAAATCTTACACAAGGATAAAATAACCATAAGAGAAGTAGTCAAGAAAACTGAAATATCACCTTTTTCTACCAAAAACAAAACAAAACAAAAAATCTAAAAAAAAAACCTCTAACTATCTGAATAGAGAAATCTGTCTTATATGAGCAAAGAGAAAAAGAAATCTTACACAGGGATAAAATAACCATAAGAAAAGTAATCAAGAAAACTGAAATATCACATGTAAGATTAATGATGTAATAGTAATTAACTTACTAAAAACGTTTTGGTTACTCTACTGTATCTGTATTAAAATATTCATTATTTTATTTTTCTGTCCTTGGAAATGCAGAGTGTTCAAATCATGTTTAGTTTGTATTTTAAACAGCAAGTAGAAACTAAATGTCATGGATAAGTGTAAAAATGAATCAGTTGTGTTGTAACTTCTTATAACTTGAATTCTTATGAATCAGTTGTGTTGTAACTTGTTAAAATTTGAATTCTTATCACTTAAATCACTTAACTCTCATTCTGTAGTTTAGGCTGCCCTTGAATTTGCAGCAATCCTCCTGCCTCAGCCTCCCAAGTGGTGGGATTATAGACATAGATGACTGCTTAACTTTTCTGTTTTAAGAAATGAGATACGTAGTTTAAATCAGTTGAGGAAAAGTGCAGTCTGAATAGGTGAACAATATCTGAATTTTAGGACTACTTTTTAAAAGAAAATGCATTTGTTATTTTATCTTTTTCCAGAAACCAAAACTGCTAAATTAGTATGCCAAGCAGAGCTCTTACCAGAGCTATTGTAGTACATCTAAGGAAGAGACGTGGTTCATTCATAAGATTTGCATGTATTTGCATACTGAGAATTTGTACAATTTTGAGAAATGTTTTAAGAAATATTGTGTTGTTCCTGCACCTAATATGTTTGAGCAGGATTCTCTGAACAAAATGGCTATGTAGCCTAAATTGGATGATTATAAATTTTGTTTTGATGGACTGTGGAAGGAGTAAGATTTTGCTAAAGTTTTTCAGATAATATAAAAATATAAACAAGTATTCTATATAATCTGTGGTATTTTTAGTTAAGCATTTGTGTTTATCTCCTTTGCAATATTCCTTGTGGACATGGGAAGAATCAACAGGAAGTTCATAGTAACCTTTCTTTTTGCTGTGTATTGGTAGAAGACTTTTTGGATATTTGAATTGTGCCCCCTTCCCAGCTTATAGCAACTGCTTCTCCTGGACTTAACACAACTGTAGTTAATGGGCTGTGGCTCACTAGCAAACGAATCTGATTATCACTGGACCCGTAGTTTTTTCCTAGAACACCTGGTATTTTTAGGCCACAATTCAGGCCGAAGTGCATATAGAAAAGATACATATCCTTGAACAACTATTTGTAAAACGACAACATCAACCAGTGATTTCTTACTCTTTTTTTTTTCTCTGAATGTATGTACTATTTCTACCTGTTTTCTGTTTTGTTTAATCTTTCTCTAAATAAAAAAAAAAAGAAAAGATACATATCTCACTCTGCTCACATCTTAGAGACAGAAGTTGTGCCATGTTTTTTTTTTTGTTCTCATTGTGAACACAATGGTGTCTACACTACCCCTGCTTAATATTTGTAAATATTTCATGTTCTTTATCATTAAACCTTAACCCAGTATAAATCTCAGAATTGGTAAAAAAGAAAAAACAGTAGCCTGTAATAAATAAAATAATGTCTTCATACAGATAGGCTAATGTGCCATCTTGTTTTATAGCCTCATGCTGATTACTGTGGTGAGAATGAAAATGGTTTAGTTTTTCTGCTTGTCTATGATAAGAGAAAAGGTAGGCATTGTGATGTGGTGGCACATTGAAATTTCGTGAATGGAATTAAAAGTGGTAACTTTGGAATAAAAATGGGGTTGCAGACAATGTGGCAAACTGCTTTTACATGAGCCAGGGATATAAGATTTCAGTCCTTTTATTTATCCATTCACACTTGAATGCAAGGCTTTCAGCACAAGCAAGTAAATGGATGCTGAATACATTCTGTCTGAACAAGCAGGAAACGACAGGCTTTTTGTCTTAGAGGTTTCTTATATCCTGTAGTGAACAAGCAAATATCAATTACCAACTTAAGAAAGAAGTTGGAATGCTTCTGTAAGAGTATTTTGGAACAAGCCCATAGCTAAAATATTTATCTAACATTTTAATAGAGCTCTTCAGGTAGTGGCCAGGCTCTCTCTGCTGCCTTTGAACTGGAGTTGAGTCATCCCCTCCCTCCTTCACTAGGTTTCTCTTAATCTGCCAATATCTATTGATGCCCCAGCACTCTAGAGAAGAAGAAAATATATTGTCATCTTTAGCCTGGCATCTTTAAGTTGCTTAGTTTCAGGAACCAGAAATGGGCATGTCTTTTTATCTGCTGAACTATTTGATACTGGAGTGGATGTGATTTAAATGGCGGTTAAAGCCTTGTCAAATATTGAATGCATTACTGTAGGCCAGTCTGTTATTCTCAGATGGCAGCCCTTGACCCGGTATGCCACTTTGATCTGCTTGCCACAGTGCTTTGTGATCCCTTATTTCCATTTTGGAATGTTTGATCCAGAGCTTTTCAGGCCTGCAGCCTAATGTGGTTCCTTTGATTAATGGTAGTTGCAAAGTGTAGCTCCTTAGTTACAGAACTTCGGGTTCTGGACGGTCTTTCTACCACAAATGCATATTCTGTGAAGAAACTAAGAGAGGGGCTCTGATGAGGGGGCTTGGTTTCAGTCACTTTTGTTTGTTGAGGACTAGGAAGAGAAGCTGGGAGGTAGGAGGGGAGTATCCTCTAAACTAAACTAAGAACCGTTGCAAGCATGACATCATAGTGCACTCCTGTAATCCCAGCTATTCTTGAGGTGTGGCAGGCGAATCACAAGTTCAAGGCCATTTAAAGCACCTTAGCAGACCATATGTCAAAACAAACTAAAAAAGGACTGGGGTAGCTCGGTGGTAGAGTGGTTGCTCCAGATTTGATTCCCAATATTGGAAGTGGGGTTGGGGCACATACTGCTTTCTTTTAAAGGAGTTTTTCTGTCTCATAAATGCTCAGCCTATATCTGCACCTCAAATATGGGGAGACTGAATGAGTTCCCTCAATCCAGGTTGTTGGCAGCCGTGTTGGGGCTGAAGCCCTTGATTCTGACAGCTGCTGGTCTGCAGCACTCACAAGATCGGCAGCGGTGCACGTGCCACTTTTAATTATCGTGGAGGAAGAAAGACCACTGCTTCTCTGTGGAGTGGCTGTGAGGCTGAGATGCAGTCAGCAGAATCCTGCCTATGCTTTGCATAAATCTGCAGCACTGGAAGCACTGCAGCAAAGTGCTAAGCAGGGCTGGGCGTGACACGGTGGCTAAGAAATGCCTCAGAAGGAACCCTTGTCTTGTAAAACATATTTACAACTAGGACTGGGCTATTTAATTTATAAAGCAAAAGGGTGAACTGGATCAGCAGAATGTAAGTGAGAGTGTGGATTGGATGGCTGATTTTTATTATTATGGCCTAATTTGGTTTATTTCTTTGAATGGCATAAGCAGCAGATTACGGACAAGATTTTCCTCCACTCCCCACCCCTCCCCTTTTTTAAAAGAATAAAACAAAACAATGAGAATGATCTTGGATTTCAAAAACAAGACAGTAGGAAATCAACCGATAGTTACTATATTGCACATTGTTAGTTGCTCAACCTCCATGCCTAAAGGCCAGCAGAGTTTTTTTTCTTAAGGGCAGAATGGTAATATGTGACATTGTAATAAGGTTTAAGAGAGGCACGTCTCATGCATGTGGCGTGAACACTCTACCACAACACTGGTGAACTGAAAGATCCTAAGTTATTTCTTTACTTCAGTTGCTATCATTTAAGAAATTTCAGGTCTGTGGCTTCTAATTTCTTTTATGCCTAAGTCTCCTGGACTTGTTTCAGGTGAGATGTAGGCATGTAAAAAAAAAATTTTTTTTTTTTGGCACTGGGGATCCAACTCACAACCTCGCGCTTGCAAGGCAGGCGCTTTTGCCGCTGGGCTAAATCCTTGGCCCTAGGCATGTAAAATTAATTAGACAATATAAGCACTAAGTTGTCTCTTCAGTTGCTATCATTTCAGAAATTTCAGGTGTGTGAAGTCTAATTTCTTTTGTGTCTGTGTCTCCTGGACTTGTTCTGGTGAGCCAGAGGCCGGAGATTGCACCCTGCTTAAGCATTTTCCTGTGTTCCTCCGAATCAGCCAGTTGCTGAGTCCCAGGCACTTCTTGCACTGGCTGCCCTTCCCACGGTGCAGGAGATTGGACTAAGTACCTAGGTTCCTATGATTTGAGGTTCTTTGAGTGGTGAAGTGTGGGGCGGGAGCCCAGCAATGCTTCCCCAATGGCAGTGGCCGGAGGGTGGTGTGGAGGGCAGGCCTCGAAGCATAGCTTCTGTAGGCCTTCAGAGGCTGACTCACCCTAGGGTGCTCAGGCCTCCATCCCTTTAAAAAATTGTTTTAAAATGCTGTTGCTACCAGGTCTGGTGGTGCACGCCTATAATCCTAGCACTTGGGAGGTCGAGGCAGGAGGATGCCTGCAAGCCTGGGCTACAAAGTGACCACCCCCCCCCCAAAAAAAGCTGTTGCTGCCTTAGGGGCAAGTAGAAATAGCCATAGAAGGTTATGATTACTTAATTTCAAAATACAAATTCCCTATGGTAAATGTGATCATTATACCTAAAATGTACCAGTTTAATAAAAAGATACACTGGTGCAATAGTCTTTGAGAGTGTCCTCTCTGTTTCTCACAAAGAATATCAGTCTGCCTCAGGATTAGTCTCTAAATGAGCAGGGACTTGGTAGATCTTTGAAGGTTTATCTACAGGAACACTTGGTCCTAGTATGAGAACCTAAGCTGCCTCACATATCTTTGTGTTGAAGAAAGTGGTGGTTGATATTAGTCATTCACAAGGTACTTTTACTGAATCAGTACTTCTCAAACCAGTCCCACCCCCAGCTTTTTTTAGACTGAGACATTCTTTTATAAAAATAAAATAAAAATGAATTATTAGAAAAAATGAAATAAAAGACTTATAAATATGAGCCTTGATTTTTTTATTAGAATTAATAGAGAGAAAATTTCTTTTGTCAGGTTGTTATAAAAGTTTCTAACTGCTTATTTTTAGTTTTTGTATTTATCTATGGCAGACTGGGAATAAACTGCAGAATGGAACTCTTTGAACTATGCTTCAAGTTGAATGAGTTTTAGTTCTGCCTGCCTCCTTCCTGCCTTCTTTTCATTCCCTTCCTTTCCTATGCATGGAAACATGATTTAAAGAGAACTTTAAAATTCTGTCTTTTGTTTTACCTTAGGTGTTACCAGGGAGGCAAGGCTGAGATTTATTGAACAGTAATTATTCTAGATACTGCACTGTGCCCTCTCTAGGCTTCCTCATTTAATCTTTCCAGTAACCATCACAGGCTGATTCTGCTAACCACATTTCACCAGTGAGGAGCATGAGGCCTGTAGAAGCAAGCAAGGTATCCCAAACTTGAGTGCTGATCTCTTGGTTTGAATTCAGTGCTGTATTTTTAGCCTCCTGGGTTTTGAATTCCATTTAGACTATGACTGTTTTAGTAAAGGAGTGAATTTTCAAGATGTATTTGAAGGAGGAAGGCTCATGGAAAGAAATATGAAATAGGAGTATAGTTGATAGCACATTTAGAGCAAAATAGAGTAGAAAGCTGCAATGCCAGGGAAAATGAAACATTTTTTGAATGGCTGTGGTAGGCATTGCTGTTATTTACATGAGCTTAACAGTAAAATTACCTTGATTGAGAGGAAGCATACTTTCTAAACCCAGGTACAAACTCCTGCTGGGTGGGGCTGGGGGGTGAATTCTGCAGACCAAACAGGCCTCATTTGTTTATCTCCAAGTGCTTTTTTTTTTTTTTTTTTGGCCTGTAGTTTTTTGCTTGCTGAGCTGTCAGTTTAATTTACTGTCTAAAGCTCAGCCTATTATTTCTCAGGTTTGCTGCCCTACAGGTACACTGTAAAGGATTTCTGTGAAATTCTGGAGCAGCTTTTAGTTTCAAAATGCCAAGGCTTTGTGCTTGTGAAAATAGGTTGTGTTTGACTTCTTGCTTGATCTTCTTTGTTTTGTTTCTGAAGCTGAGCTTGGGTTAGAAGGATGATGCTAGAAGCAATTTAAAGGGCACATCAAAATTTTAGTGTAATACTGAACTATTGATTGTTGACTTATTTGTGGATTTAATGCAGACCCATTTCCTTACTTAGTGTCTAACTGGCCATTAAGCTCTGGCAGTGTGCCGGAATGTTGAAATCTTGATCGCATAATATGATTTGGCTGTCTAAGGGTATTATGTGCATTTGATTTTTAAAGATACAGACAAAGATCTCAACCTTACATATACTCTGAAATGCTGAAAATAATTTATCTATACCAAAATTACTCACTACTAGGAGACAGCAGAAAAGTGAGTGATTGAAATTCAGAATGTTTAACATCTGACTTCATACAAATTGTTATTCTCTGGACTAATTGGTCCTTATATGTAGACTAACAGCAAATCAAGAAGAAATGACTAAGCAGGGGACTAAAAGGGGGTGGCACTGAGTGTGCAAGGTCACAGTTAAGCAATAGAAATGACTATCAGCATTCACCTGGTACCAGTCTCCAGGCTCGGAGTTGACATTAGAATGTGACTCCAGGGCTGTTGCGGTGTTCTGCTTATGGAGGGAGCTGGACAGAGGCTCTTGGTGCCTAGAGGAAGAGTGGTCATTGATTGCAAAGAAGTTCTACCCTTTTCTTTCATAACCTGGGCACCTTTTGACTGAGTGAGAGGGCGTTCCCTCTCTTCTTTGAGTTATGACTGAGGGAGAGATACTTTGGAATCATTAAATACGAGATTTTTGAGAGAAAAAAAGAGGACTGATTTGAAACTTACTTTTCACCTGTAATTACAAAGTAAGACATGTTTAATTTTAAAAACTGGGAAATTGGCTTCAATGTGCACTTTTTTTCTTTTTATTTTTTAACTTATGAAACAAGGTCTTACTATGCAGTTCCAGTTGGCTTTGAACTCACTGTGTAGTCCAGGCTGACCTCGAGCTCACTTATCCCCCTGACTCCTCATACTGAATATTAGGATTATGGCTATATACTGCCGTGCCTGGCAGTGTGCACTTTCTTGACTGCTGCACTGGCTGTGAAGTTGTTAGAAGAGCCACTATTTTGAATGTGTTGAGCTGTTTGCACCAGATACTTGACACTGTAGAAGATCTTCTGTTTGAAAGTACAAGGAAAATTGGTATATTTTAACAGAGAAGTGAAGCATTATCACATGAAGTGTGTTTTAGAGATAGAATATAAATTGGGCCTCATAGCTCAGAATTGTTCGATTCTTATATTACCCAGTCTTTTCCTTGGTTTTGTAATAGAAGAACTTCCTGTTGTGTGAAAAGAAATCTGAGACGTAAATTTTCCAGCCATTACATCATTTCATTATTCCCCTCAGACCATTTGGAAGGCTGCTTATTTTGGGGGGCTGGAAGACCTTAGAGAAGTTCTGTGACTTTGTCCTAATTTGGAAGATGTGGAGGGAAGTAACAGGTCAGGAATTTTGTGTGAACTTTGAAGGATTCATCATAATTACCGTTTGTTTAAGCCTTTCGGTGGACTTTTTTTGTCACCCATTCGTTCCTCACTACAGAGTTTGAGATGGGTTCAGCAAGTGCTATCATCATGTTTATTTAGAAAGGAAAGAAATTGAGACCAAGACAGGTAGAATATGAAGCCACGTAAACCTTTACACCTTGCTCTATATTTTACCTTGCTGAGTGAGTCATTAGGTGGTGAGCTTGGGTAACTACAATAATATATTTTTTTAAAAGACATTAAGCCAGTTCCTTTATCACTGATCAGATTTCTTAACATATGTCTCTATATTTCATTTTGGATCTTTTCTTATCAAATTTTTGAAATGTTATTTCCATTTTATTTCTTCCTAGGTAAAAGACTTACTGATTAACTAAATTGGTTGTAAAGATGACGGTGCTACTACTTAAAGAGTAATTTGGAATTTATTGACTTCTATAGACTTTTGAGTGTTGACAAACTTCACTTATTCCATCAATATGCTTTGAAACAAAAAGTGGTACTGAAGTTTGTTGTTGCTATTGCTGCTGCACCTGCTGCTGCTGCAGTTCCTTGCTGTTCCTCTTCAAGGGGCTCAGGGTGTCTTAAAATTTGTACCGTAATAGTTGAGCCGGTCGGGGGTAATTATGCTGAGTAGGTCATTGGTGCCAAGCAAATGTATAGCACCAAACCAGAATAAATGCCCTATTTGGAACCTTGGGTGTTCCAGACTCAGGATTTAGAGCAGATTAGGAGAGAAGTAGTTTTTGTGTTTGTTTTTGCCTCCCTCTCTCTGTTTCCTTCCTCCTTTCCTTCTTCCCTCATTTTTTATCCCTCCTTCCTTTCTCCTATCATTCTTTTTGTTTGGTTTTGGTTTGTCTTTTTTCCTTTTTTTTGGTCTGGTTTTGTTCTTAGTTTCCTTCTGTTTTTTGCATCTCTCTCTGCCACACATCACCCTCGCCTTGGCCTGTTAGACTGGCTTTCACCAGGAACTGCGACTGCTAATGAGAGTGTACCAAGCCCTTCAAAGGCCCTGGGGCAGAAGAAAGATAGAAAACATTGTTGTAGGATTTATTCCTTTTTACTGATCAAGTACTAGCTATGAAGTACCAGCTGTTAGGATGACTCCTGTAGCCTGGCAGTGTATACCCAAGAAGACTGTCTTGCCCTGGGGAATGAACACATCTAGGTGTGAGGTTGAGCTGGGCC